TTGTGTTTGAAAAAGTGGGGAAAGGAGACAGTTACTCTTTGTATGGCTAAAGAAAGCATTTGGTAGAACTTAGCATTATAACCTTTGTTAAATAGTAAATAATCTCTACCTAGAATGTTCTAGAGCTTAGTCACTTTCCCTCTGGAGTCCATTTCCTTCCTGCCACTCACCTGGAAGGTTCAGGGTTGTTTGCAATGGTGCGGGGATCCCACTGAGGGACAGTGCTATACCATCAGATGCTGGCTGCAGTGGGATGGTGCTGTACCCATCAGATGCTGGCTGCAGTGGGATGGTGCCGTACCCATCAGATGCTGGCTGCAGTGGGATGGTGCCGTACCCATCAGATGCTGGCTGCAGTGGGATGGTGCCGTACCCATCAGATGCTGGCTGCAGTGGGATGGTGCTGTACCCATCAGATGCTGGCTGCAGTGGGATGGTGCTGTACCCATCAGATGCTGGCTGCAGTGGGATGGTGCTGTACCCATCAGATGCTGGCTGCAGTGGGAAGCTGAAAGGACCATTGGTTTGGGGGTTGAAGTTGGAGTGAATCTGCTGTTTTTGTTAGGTTTTGATGATTAATTACCAGATGCTATCTAAGTCTTTATAATGCTGGCAGGAGCCATTTTTATGCTATTTGTTGAGTAATACACTCAAGATTTTAGTTCTCTGCTGGTGTTTGTGAAGCATAGGACATGACTTTTTCAAATTGTCCTCAATGTAGAAGTAAGTTTTCTTACTGGTTTATTGAAATATAAATAGTAAAATGACCCTTCTCCAAAGCACTTAATTAGTACAAGATAGTTGTCAGGTATCCATTGGAGGCTACCATTAGAACCAGTGTAAAAGTCCTGGGGTCAATTTGATAAGAACACTTCCCTATTCTAGTCTCCACATCCTTTGAACTGTGTCAAAATTAAGAGGGCTGGGGATATGACTCAGTCACAGAACACAGGCCTGGCATGTGTGAAGCCCTAGGTTTAATCCCAGCACATACACACACACACACACACACACTCATACGCATGTACACAGACACTATAGTCAGTGCAGAACCAAGAGAAATATTAAAGAAATCAAAGCACAGGGTTAGGGATACCACTTGATGTCAGAATCTCTTCCTGGCATATGTACCGTTTGGGATTTTGTCTCTGCACTGCAAAAATAAATAAATAGGTAAATCAGATGTATGGATAGATAGATAGATGACAGATAGATAGATGATAGAAAGTACCAGATGGAGTGATTACTTATATTATTCTATTATTAAATAAAACCCAGTAGTCAGATATTGAGGTAAAAACCTGATAGATTAAAGAATAATGGGGAAACAATAAGCTGACCTTACCTCTACACCTTCCCAGATCAAGAAAACCAGATAATCTTTTAGGCACCTCCCTATTCTTTCCTGTGTCTCTCTATCCTAATCTGGGTCCACCAAAAACTCTATGGTTAATTCTGGCCAACTGAATTTGACTCCACCCTCTCATTCAAGGTTTAACTTTATTGGCAGTCTAGGGAGTGTCAGGGTGTGATCAAAATATCCCATGAGAGAAGATAGATAGTTTATAGATGATAGATAGACAGATAGATGGTAGATAGATGAGAGAGAGAGAGAGAGAGAGAGAGAGAGAGAGAGAGAGATGATAGATAGAACCAGATGCTATCTGAACATGGTAATTAATACAGAAGAGTTCCTATTACTATGGATGTTATCTAGCTACAAATAAAGTCAAAGGAAACCATGCATCTCTACCACCTACCACATATGCAGGCACTACTGTGTTTGTATTTACATCTACTCATTCATTTAACCCCATAATGACCCCATGCAGCAACCATGACATTTGAAGTGGCGTCTTATGAGACTTGGGAAGACAGCACTCCGTGGTATAATTACTGCCTGACTTCAGGGAAATCAGAACTGCTGTGGGCTGAAGGGACAGCAGAGCTTCATGAATGGCAAGGGAGTGAGTCTTAGCTGACTAGTGCTCCTGTAGCAAAATGTTTCCAACTTTGCTGCATGAACCACAGAAGTTTATGGCTCAGAGCTGTGAGGCTGGGCAATCCTATGCCAAGGCAGAGTCAGTTTCTAATGAGGGCCCAATGCACTCCAAGATGGCTCCTTCTTGATTCTCTTGTTTGCATTGTGGAAGAGGTGAGCCATACCTGGTGCTTCCATCACAAAGATGCTAATCCCACTCATGAAAGTTCCACTCTCGTGACCTGATCACCTCCCACAGCCCTCATCTAATGGCATTAGCTTCAGAGTCAAGAGTTTAAACATATGGATGTGATGGAGACCTAGACCTGCGACTTCGCAGGATCTGCTGCTCTTAACAATTAGATCTTTAGGTGGACACTCTTAAAAACTAGTTAGCCAACCCATGCCATGAGTTTGTGCATGCTAAGTATCTAAGTTGCTTCTCGAGCTATTTACTGTGGCAACAAAGTTTTATCCTGGCTTTATGAATGTGATGACCTGAGCTTCTCCCAGGAGCCCACCCACATTAAACTACCTTCAGTGTGGTTCTCAACCTTCCTAATGGCTGTGACTCTTTAATATAGCTCCTTATGCTGTGGTAACCCCAATCATAAAATCATTTTCATTGTTACTTCATAACTGTAATTTTGCTACTATTATGAATCATTATATAAATATCTGTGTTTTCTGATGGTCTCAATTGACCCCTGTAAAAGTGTCATTCGACCCCCCAAAGGGTCTCAACCCACTGGTCTAAATGGAGCTGACTCACAAACACAATCTTGAGAACTGTCGCTAGTCCCATATGAGAGGCACTGTCCTGGTTTGGTTTTTTGTTGCTGTGCTAAAACACTGACCAAAAATAGCTTGGAGAGGAAAAGGTTTTATTTGGCTTACATGTTCTCATCATGGCCCATCTTTGAGCATGAAGATGAGTAAATCCTTGGGGGCCCATGGACTGAAATTGCTTATAAGCCCTTCCTCATTTAGAGAGTGGGCCAACATGATCTGTGTGCATTATTACACTTCATGGTACCTTAAATGGAGTAAAATGCTGTTTTCTCTATTTCTGCTAACTTTTCAAGTAGTCACTGTCCTAGTTGGCTTTCTGCTGTTGTGATAAAAACCATGACCAGAAGTAACTTGGGGAAGACAAGATTTATTTGGCTTACAAGTCCCAATCATAGTCCATTATTGAGCAAAGTTTTTGTTGTTGTTGTTTTGGGGGGGGTTGGGACAGGGTTTCTCTGTATTGTTTTGGAGCCTGTCCTGGAACTCACTCTTTGGACCAGGCTAGCCTCAAACTCACAGAGATCAGCCTACCTCTGCCTCCTGAGCGATGGGATTAAAGGCATCCACCACCAACACCTGACCCATTATTGAGCAAAGTTAAGGCCAGAACCATGGAAGAATACTGCTAACTGGCTTGCTCCCCATGACTTGCTCAGTTTGCTTTCTTGTACAATTCAGGACATTATGCCCAGGAATGGCACCACCCACAGTGGACTAGGCCCTTCCCCATCAATTGTTAATCAGGAAAATGCTCTGCAGACACACCCACAGACCAACCTGATGGAGTCAATTCCTCTGTTGAGGTTTTGAGGTTCCCTCTTGCCAGGAGACTCTAGTCTGTGTCAAGTTGACAATAAATAAATAAATAAATAAATAAATAAATAAATAAATAAAATTAGCCAGCACAGTCAAGAAGGGAAAAGGTAGTCAGTCAGTAATTAAGGGGCATTGTAGTAGTTACTCTTCCAACCCTAAAATAAAATACCTGACACAATTAACTTATAAACAGAAAGGGGTAGTTAGTGCTGTTTCAGAAGTCCTCATCTTTGATTAGATGAACCGTTACTTTGAGCCTCAGGAGGAATACTGGATGGAACCATTTGGGGGACTGAGGCAGAACAAGCTGCTACTTGTGGCTAGGAAGAAAAAGAGGCCAGTGTCTCACAATCTTCCTAAAGAGCACATTCCCAATGACTTAAAGATCTCCCGTTAGACCCCACCCCTTAAAGAGTCACAGTACCTCCTGGTCATGCCCCTGGGGATCCAGCCTCTAACACAGACCATTGGGGGCATTGAACATGCAGACCATAGACAATGATCACAAGGCCTTGAAGATAACTCATGCTATGTGTTTGGTCCAAGGAAATCCCTCTGGATGTCAGTTTTCATTAAGAGCACATTCGGTTGACTGACAGGGAATTGGCTGAAGAGCTGGTTCTCTGACTAATGAGTAGTATTTCCTTATTATTAGCAGTAAAATCTTAAGAATCCATCTGTGGTGACTCATAAATGCAGACTGAATATGGAGTGTGTCTTCGGGTGCTTAAGTATTTTATGTCACAGAGTGTAATTGATGTGAAGACGAGACCAGTGAGTTATAAATGGCCTTTTCCCCCAAATAATACTTCAAATGTGCAGTGCTTCCTATGCCTTATAGTAATGTCCAGACTGAGTCAAAACTCAAGGAAGCCTTGCTGTCAGGTCTTATGAGAGAAATGGTGCATGCTAGGTGTCTGCTATGATTGTCATTATTCATCAGATAACTAACTAGCTATGGGCAAAGGAATAAGCTTAAGGGAATAATTGGTTTTCTTTAAAAAGCAAATATATATGTGTGTGTGTGTGTGTGTTACTATGAGCTATGAGCTTTTTCACGGTCAAGAATCACTTATTACAAAAAAATCAAATGAGAATTTGTAGAATATAATAATATATGCTACTATATTCATGTGTAGAACAGAGATATTTGTAGAATTATTCCAGGGTGATGTAACTGTGTAACCATGATATAACAGAGAGGGGATGGCTGTGGATGTATTTGTGTATTAATACTGCAAACAAATGAGTATGATTTGGTTCTATTGGTTTTTATATAGGGAGACTGTTTCTCACCTTCAGGGCTAGTCCTACTTGTTTAATATGATTTATGTGTTGGACATGTGACTATGCTTACATCACATGAGGGAACTCTCAGTATCTGTTTTGGTTTTTTTTTTTTTTTTTTCAGAGTGAAAGTGCCCTTGCAAAGGAAAAAGAGCTGTCAATTGAACTTGCAAACATCAGGGATGAAGTTGGTAAGTTGGTCATCTGGCATGAGGACTGTTTACCACTCTACAGGTGGTGGGACGTGGGAGAATGGGGCCTAAAAATGAGGTGGTCTCATGCAATAGCTGACTTTATTCAGAGCATCAGACAATTTATACTCTGAGGGTTAAGAAAGGTCACATGAGTGAAGTTCTCATGAGTTCAAGCTGTACACAATTACGAGGATAGCTGTACATGAAAAAAAAATATTTTTCCATAGAGGCAAACAAAAACCAACAGCCAGTTGTAATAAATAATCTAAAGTGAACTCACTCCTATCTGCTATGCCTGGCAGGAACACAAAAACATATTCCAAGAATAATTCTTGTCTTTGAAGAAACTGTGGTCACAAGACTCTAGTCTTGTTTTCCTGGAGTTTGCTCACAGGCACACAGATTCCCCTAGTGGGATGCCATTCTTGGATTGTGTTCTAGCAAAGACCAAGAAGAATATCTTTAACTGATGCCTGAAATGTGTTACAAAGGCCATGGTATCTCTCTGTCATAAGCCAAATCAGACATGCCTGGACCAGTGAAGCGTCTTTGCCAGCATAGTGGCGGTCTGCTGGAGTCTCACAGGGAACCATAAATCTCACAGGTCTGTCATGACAGAGACAGTTTCTCACAGCTGGCGACAGGACTAGTCAGGCCTTAACTGTTCTTCACAGATGACAGCACACACATCAGTCTCTGTCACAGGCTTTGACAAGCGTCCCTCCCTCTAGGCATTCTGGATTGTGTGAAATGAGTGTCTCCTGGCTTCCTGCAGCTGTAAGCACCTTGTCATGAAAGCACTGTCACCTCAAAAGGGGTTAAAAAAACGCCTGTCTGGCTGGAACAAAATCATGAGGGGGCATATTGGAGTGTGTACTCTTTAGGAATGGTCTAGTATATTCAGAGACTTTGTCAAAGTGAGTGATGATAATGTAACAGAAGGCAGGCTTCCTCTCCAGGTGAGGGACTGGTGAAGGGGTTTGCCCTGTCCCATACCCCCACCCCACCCCGTTCCTCTTTCTTCCTTTTTCTCTAGGACTAGAGATTAAACTCAGTGCTTTGTTTATATTGAGCAGCCACTAGACCACTGAGCTACCCACATTGTAAAAATGTTTTATTTGAAACAGGATCTCATTAAGTTACACAGCTGACCTTGAACTCACTCTGCTGCCTAGACAGGTAAAATGTGTGACTCTTTTACCCCTGTCTCTTGAGTAGCTAGATTTACAGGCCTGTGTCATGAGGTCCTCCCTTCTTGATGTCATTTTCTCTCTTGTCTAATCACTACCCTGTGTCGCCAGGAACTATGGCCTCTTCCCATTGGCCTGCTGTTCTAGTCACAAGTACACATCTCCCCTCTACCTAATGTGACCTTGGGAGCAGCCTACCTTTGCAGGTGTGATCTCCTCCATTAAGTAAAGGAACTTGTCCCATCCAGGCCACCCTTGGCAGGTGTCTGGCTATGAAATTACCAGCAGTCCAGCTTCCTCTAGTGGCCATGGGTTCTCAGCTGAGCAGTGGACAGACAAGGTAGTAGGCTTCACCTGTGGCTTCTCCCATTCTCCTTTGTGTCTTACTATTTCTCCTCTGTGAGCTTTGTGATTTCTTTCTCATAGCAATGACTCAGAAGAGGTTATCTCTCCTCTCCCAGGATAGCCAGGACCTGTGGGAACACAACAAATAGTAATAATCTATGCCTGCCCCACCTGCATGGGATTCATAGCAACAGGGTCCCCGTCCCCACGGACTCCCTGACCCAAGAAGGAGTTGGAGGACTAACCCAGACATAGGTTTAGCTGAGAAAGGCCAGCTAGGCAAGCCATGGTGGAGCTTGTCGGGACACTCCCAGGAATCCGAGGCTCATGAGATGGGTGCTGGAGCTTTTGGAAAAGCAGCCACCCGAGAGGGAGAAGTGACATCTCCCTGTTCCCTTCAGGCTCCCTCCTGGGAAAGTGTCACCCTCTCATTTTGTTGTCACTGTTTCCATGGAGATTGAGTCTCTTTTCTTGAAGTCTTCACCATGTCTCCTAATTTGCTACTTTGGGGTCTTACCATACAGACCGTCTGCAGGCCCGGTGTGATTGGCTGAGGGCACCCTTGCTGGGGTCAAGAGCTGTTTTTATTCCCCTTTGAGGGGATCTTGCCATCCATTCACTGAAGGATCCCTGGGGTCCCCCGATGATGTGCTGTTACACTGATACATCCGAGAGACCTGCCTGCAGGTGACTCCCCATGGGAGTCACTAAGAGAATATTCTTCCACTGAGCCTGCATTATCAGAAAGACATTTCTTCTTCTCCAACTCTAATTGCAAAGATCCCCCTCCTCCAACTCAGTCCCTGCCCTCTGAGGGTTAAAGTTGTGAGACATCTCTTTCCAAAAAAAGCTACAAAACTGATTGTGGCAGACATTGTCCTACAGGTTAATTCCCAGGTGACAGGGACTGAGCACAGCTATGAACCTCAGGTCTTGTCCCTGCTTCAGTCACAACCCAGTCTCCCCAGATGACCCCTGATAGTACTGTGGAGGCAATTCAGGGGATTTCAGGTAAAGAGAAATTCCCCCAAAGTCCTGATTCATAGTGACAGCTGCCTCATGGTCAAATAGATACTTCACAGTGACACTTGGGAAGTAGATAGGACTTAAACTGTGTATCCTATCAACCCAGTGGCCATTTGGAAAGGGAAAAAATAGCTGAAATTGGAGGTGGGGTGCTCTTCGTCTCATGTAAACATCACGGTTACATGCTAGAGAGATGTTTGAGCTGTTGGCTGGTACTGCTCAAACCTTAGAATCAGGTTGGATGTTGTCCCTCCTTGGGTCCCGTTTCACAGGGATTGTCACTCTGTGCTTTTTATCACAGCATCCTAAGATACTGTATCACAGAAAGGAACGAAGTGTGACTGGTGTGGGGCAAACATCAAGGAACAAGGAGTTCCAACAGTGTGGTGACCTTGGGGTTTCAGACACCCTGCAGGGCCCTGTGTGTTGTCTGCAGTAACACACTGTTGGACTTACAAACACTACTGGCACTGGCTAAGAGGGTGGGGTGTGAAGATGAGTGGCTCTTTGGGGGCCCAGGAACTGAAGTTACTCATAAACCCTTCTTCATTCAGAGTGAACCTGACCAGTGTGCATCATGCCTCTTGGCTTCCTTAAGCAGAGACCAAGGAGGAATATTGCTTAGTGCTTCCTTCCAGGTTCATGCTAGGCCTTCTCATACAGCTTAGGCCCAACCTGCTTGGGGGTGGTACCACCCACAGTGGGCTGGGACTTCCTATGTCAATCACGAATCAAGAGAATGCCTGCCCCACAGGCTTGCCCACCGGCCAGTCTGATGTGTTTTCTCAGTCAAGGTTCCCTCTTCCCAGATGATATCAAATGTATGAGACCAACCTGCCTAGTTAGCAAGCTCTTAGGACACACTATGAACAGACATGCTGTCCTTAATGGGTGTCAGGGAAGCACAGAGGGACTTAGTCTCTATGAAGTTTTCATGCCAAAGATATCAAGCCAGTGCTCTGAGATGTAGAAGCTGGCCTCTGAATGTGTTTCCCCCAGTATCAGGATGCTTGTAGCTGGTTCCAGGCTTTAGGGCTCCAGAGTCTCATAGAGTGAATTGGCTTGACCTCTTAGACCCTCGGGTTCCTCTTCATACACTGAAAAGCAATTCCGGAAGAAGCTACTGGTGGAGTGCTAGGCTGAGGTGCAGCAGCTAGCATACAAAGATAGGAAACAGGGTTCTCTCCAGGCTGAATTTCTCCCTGGAGAGATGTCTGCCCTCCCACGAGAAAGCTTTGGATCAGAGGATGGTGCTCGAGTTGGGCATGCCAAGCTCAGTGACACTGCCTTTAGCAATGTCTGGAAACTTTTAAATGCAGCTGGATCTGTACTGAGTTTGAGTTTAAGTCTTTTGATTTCTGCATTAGCACTAAGAATAGAAACAGCTCATCTGCCCCCATCTGAGGGGGAGGAACAGCAGAGACAAAACAGAAGTCCCTGGCAGCACCATGGCTAGTCCATTCATCCCAGGGGGCGCTCTGCTCTGAGAACCAATTCTCACTCCACTCTGGAGATTGCATTGGCACAGAACGAAGACACAGGGGGCATATGGGGATCCATTGTCAGCCCATAAATTCCAGAGCAAAGCCTTCAGCACTGACTTCTGAAGGGTCCACAGGGAAAGACGCCCCCTCAGTAGCTGCCCTGTCGTTCTTTACACTCCCTGTAGCAGTTGATTCCCACAGAAGTCATGGGAGGTGGGGATCAGAAGGAAAGGGGGGGGCTGGGGAGATAGAATTTCTGAAATAACTGTGAATTCAGACAGGGTAGAGAAGTTGACAAAAGTAGGAATAACTCAGGTGTTGCAGATTTTAGGGTAGAATTGGCCATCTCCAGTCTAATGGTGACTGCTTAACCTTTTTCACAACTCATAAAATTGCTACGCCAAATTCTGCCAATAACTGTCAATAAGCTTCCATCCATTATCCTCACTCTTGGCTGGAATAAATACAATGGTGGTGTCTATCACCCAGTCTGAAATGGGTGCTTCTGGGTGCTTCTCTGTTCTGTGGAGTGCCACTGTGGGCAGCAGAAACAAAACACTGAAGAGTGAGTCTTGGGTCGATTTTTAATCTTCCAGATGTTTATTACAGACAGTGAACTTTGACAGTCGATGAGCTCTCTGAAGAAGTGGGTTTTGATTGGCATCCAAACCAGGTAGGGGAAGTTAGGGGCAGTAGGGAGATGTAGTTGGGTCCCCCCTGACTGTAGCCTGAGGAGCTCCCTCACTTAGGGGCCTCCACTCACATGAAGAATCTCAAGATGTGTGCCTGGGTGAGGGTATGTGCATGTGTGTGAAGATGCCCATAGATGCCAAAGGCATTGATCTAGTTCCCTCTGGAGGTGGAGTTACAGGTAATTGTGAGCCACCCAACACAGATGCTAGAAGCTGAATTCATGGCCTTTGCAAGCCACCTTATCAGTCATTTAAAATAC